ATGTCTTGGACAAGGCACTCGCCCGTCAGGACCCCAAGGGCAACTCCGACTGCTCATCTTCCTGTGAGTTGCCCAAGGACTTGCAGTGGTAAGCATTTTTTTGTCATCCCCAAGTTACAGAGTCACAACGGCCCCGTGGCCAAGAGTTTGTCACTCCTTTTTTGGTTAGGACACAGGAATAGATTCTAACCGCCATTTTAACGCGAAGCTGAACTCGGCACAAGCTCTGAGTCTGAGTGCAATTCGTTCCAGCAAATAAATGCCAAGCGTTTCAACTGTAGTCTCCTTACACACTATTTGTAGATATATATGTGTGTGCATATCTAGGCAAAACATACACAAATTCATTTGAGTGTAGCTCTAAGGAATCATGAAGAACCAGATTTCTGTTACCGGCCGAGGGGGATTACAGTCCAATTAGTTGAGTGTTTGAGGATGGGTTGACGTGGCAGCACGAAAGGGGTCCAGGCTTGGACCGGACCCTGCTCACCCAAAACCCCAAGGCCCTAAACCCTATAATCCTAAACTCCAAAATCCTAAGCCCTATAAATCCTAAAAGCTCCATAAACCCTGTAAGCCCCATAAACCCTTTAAATCCTATAAGCCTTATATCCTAAACCCTAAACCCTGCCACCGGCATGGCTCACCTCTGCACCATTTGGGATCAGGGCGGAGCCCGATCCTTCATTCTTAGTCGGCTTTCATGCTGAGCGGTCCAGGCGCGTGAAAACATATTGGAGATCGACATCTTACCCCGCGGCATATGAGCCATAATCTAAATGCCTGAAAACGGGGTTACTTAGAGGACTGTATGAGGGACTATTATGGGGATTATATGATCATAGGTGATACTGGGAGTTTAGACTGGCTCACATGCAGGATTTCTCTGCGAATTCTGTCGTATACTAGTTGGTTGTTGTCGAGTGTATAGAGCTCATCAGCTTCTCGAAGGTATAGGCCAGAAGTTTGAGAACCGTCACAAGCGGTCCGTCATGTCAATGCAAAGAGAAGCTCCCAAAAGCATGGAGAGCGGAATCCCCTCTGAAGCGCCCTAAGACCTAACCTGGCAGGTATCCAAGCTGAATTTCAGCACAAGCCCCGCTTCGAAACTCCTTAGCGAAAGGCGCAGACTGTCAACATCATTCTTCTGGCGCCCTCCTTGCTATGTGTCTCTGGTGATTGCCGAGGCCCTGGTTTCTGACGAATGTGTCTTCGATTGGGGTTCTGTAAGTACCTAATTCATGTTCTGTAGGATGGACAAGGTTGCAAGTGTGGTGACTCTATGTCTAGACACGGTGGAGATTGGCTTCTGTGTGAAGAATGATACTTCAGATCCCCGTTGAAGACCATCATTCTGGACTGGAATTCGATGTCAATCTCAAATTGTTCTTAGGTTCGAGAAGGTGGAACTTGCACATGCGTGCTGGTGCCATGGCAGCAGGCGGCTCAGATCGCGCACGCTGTCAGGGCTAGCATCTTTGAGCACAAGTAAGGAAAACATTCAAGTTATACCCAGGTTACAACCTCTGACAGCGGTGCCCAGTTGTCACAGTGGATACTGCGCGCGCCTCATCGAGTACAATGGCCGTTTGGGATAATGTTAGTGGGATGCCAGTGGTGACGTAGCGAATTGGAATTGAAACGCTGTGTCAACAAATCATTGGTCCTGGTCTGCATGGAGGGGAATGACTCTGGAAGCATTGAGGTTTGGCAGTTCTACTATCAGACCCTAGAGAGGGACAACCTGTTTTTGTTAAGTATTTAACCCATTATAGTAGCTTCCATTTTCTTTTCCATTATCCCTTTGTACCCCCAACCCTAAACCCTTAACCCTATAGTAGTTTCCATTTTCTTTCCACAATCCCTATATTGCAAAGTACTCTCAAATCCGCTGGCCCCATGCAGGCGGAGTGAAATGCTGCTGTAGCACCTAAAAAGACAAAGCTCCCACACATAGACTGACTCTTAGCAGCCGTGATGACAAAACAACGAGGTGCCTAGCTGAAGCCCATTGAGCCTCCATTCTAATAGGGTACAAGGTCAGCGTACCCTCGGCTTCTTAATTTCTACTTGCCCTGTATTTTCATCATACATTTCTAGGCGCGGCCGCCGAGGGGCTCAATTTCTTAAACCAATGATTTCTTACAGTGCTGTCGCTGTATATGTTGGGGCAATATTAGGGTTATATAGGGGTTATATAGGAATAATGGAAACTCCATTATTGGGGCAATATTGGGGTTATATAGGGTTTATATAGTAATAATGGAAAAGAAAATGGAAACTACTGCCTGGGATCTGCGAGCCCCTGAGTAGCAGAAAACTGCAAAGCTCTGCCTCAAGCTCCGCTGCCCTCCAAGAAAATGGTGGTTTCCGAGAATTAGAGGTACTTTATAGGGGGGCACCATAATAAGGATGATAGTATTTTGGGGTCTAAATTAGGGTTCCCTTTTTTTCGGAAACTACCCAATCTGAACTTCTTTCGACTGGCAAGTTCAGCCATCCAGGGAGGCAACCGCAGATAAGGTCTTCAATCAATCTGAAGCTCAGCCCAAACTAGCCCACAAGTGCAAGCACTGCCAAGACCTTCACAACGCTGTAAAGAGTTCAGACCTTATGACCCTATACATAGCAGTTTCCATTTAATTGTCCATTTTCTTTTCCATGTGTAACCCGCTGACCCCTGTAAGGAGTTTAGACTATGGCTCACACTGTTCTCATTGGCATCTGCAGCCGCAGAGGGCAGTGGCACCACCTTGCCAAGCTCTGGGGTTTAGGGTAATATTGGGATAATGGAAAATAAAATGGAAACTACTATAATGGGGTTATAAAGGGTTTTTATATTGGGAAAATGGAAAATAAAATTGAAACTTAAAACAAGACTCAGGCCGGAATTATAGCCTCGTGTCAACCTTGCAGACAACTTTTCCTTCAGGTTCTGGAAGTCCAAGTATGCCTCCACCGCAGTTTGCAGCACCTTCGGCACACTCCGGTCCCGGGGCAGGCAGCGTCTTCAGAGAAAAGGTAGCTTTCGGGCGCTGGGCCTGTGTTCATCTTGCGGCGATGCAGTGAATTTCTTTCAGGGTACTGATGCGGGCATCCTGCGCATAGCCATGTGGAACAGGGGCTGGAAGGCTCAAAAGGGACCTAGTAAATGCCGTTGTCCTTCCACCTTCACAAGAGCCTTAAGCATTTTGGCTAGACAGGCTATTGACATCTATTGATTTAGCTCGAAGTGTTGATAGATTTGGCCTTTGTCATCATGCTGGTGCCGAGCAATTTGCTAAGCTTCATTATCATGAAACTCACCCAAATCGTGCGCGCCTTTTAGACCAAAGGCCCACCTAACGAAGCGAAAGAGAGCGTGCCAGTGTTCTTGATACGCATCCCGTTGGCATACTGTTTTTTGGCTCGGTGCATGTTGGATGGACGAACAAGCCACGGATTCAAGCTGTGGCTTGCCAAGATCCGTCAAGCGTCTCTTCTGCAAGCAGTGGGACAAGAGGTCCATCGCAGATGAAAGCGAAACGTAGGGGCGCGCTGCCATACCAGGCCTGTCATTCAGGTACCGCTACACACGCTTGCATCCCTGAATCAAGATGAGGTTGTGTGGTTTGACAACCCCATTTCCACGAGCGCGGCCATGCATGCCGCTGCCTGGTACATTGCCTTTGCCGCTTGGCCATTGCTTTCAAGGGTACTTGAAAATGCGTTCCATTTTCTGCTTCCTTATAATCCTAAGAAGCCGCAAAACTTGTGATTTTTACCGGAGTTCCAAGTTCAGCACGGGGCTAGGCTCCAGAGTTAGCTGTGCTGTTCTGTGAAGTGGTTCTCAGCACTCAACTGGCTTTCCTGCCAAGTGTTACTTAGTGGGGTGTCCCAAAATTAGGGGTACCTTATTGGGTGTTCCTATAATGAGGAATATAGTAGTTTGGGGTCTATATTGGGGTCCCCTTGTTTTGGGAAACAACTACTGTTGAGTTGTGATTGGGCTGGGTCAGACTGATTGCAAGGCTAGGATGCTAGTGGAGACTATCCGTGCGATCTCAGCACTCTTGGTTCTTTTGTTCTGTCTCTCTCACTCTGTCACATATTCACTAGGCCTACTTCTGCTTCTTCTCTTTTCAGTAAGGAAGACCTATATAACCCTATATCTATAGGTTTATGAGTCCCTATATATCACTATTCAAACCCTGTATCTCCCTATTCAACCCCATATAACCCTATCGTCCCCAGTCAACCCTAGAGAACTTTTTATCACATAGCCTCATCAACCCGATACACCCTGGCTTATTCCAACCCTAGATTGCACGCACACACACACACATACGCATATATACATATATATGCAAAAGTTCATCTACATCCGTACTCAACCATTTACAGCTGCGCATATATCCGTAGTAAAACCTATGCATCCCTACTCAACCTTCTATAACCCCACACAGATCCTTATTAAAACCAGACCATAACCCCACATAAATCCCTATTCAATCCAACTTTCTCTCTCTCTCTCTCTCTCTCTCTCTCTGTGCATATATTCATTCTACGCACACATGCCTACTGTACCCACAAGCCCACATGACCTGTAGTCTAAACTCCTAGTGTAAGTATGCCCCTGAATAACCTCTATAGTAGTCGGCTAAATGTTCCCCTGCATAACCCCCCTTCAGGAGTTTAGACCCTCAACACTAAACCCTAATCCCTTAACCCTGGTCCCTAAGTCTTAAACCCTTAAATCCCCTGACTATAGCCTTCATATTCCCAATAGAACCCTAAAACCTTAAAACCCCAAACCCGAAACCCATAGCACCCTAAAACCCTAAACCCTGTACCCCAAAGAACCCTCAAACCCTTAACCCTTGAGGCCTGGAGCCTCCTCAGGGGCCACGGAGCAAGGGTTGAAATTCGCTCCTCGGCCGGGGCCTCGGTCTTCAGCCCCTATGTGAGCTATGGTTTAGGGATTAGGGTTTAGGGCTTAGGGTTTAGGGTTATAGTCTAAACTCCTTAAACGGGGTTATACAGGGTTTAGGGTACAGGGTTCAGGGTCCAAATTCTTTAAAGGGGGTTATATAGGGGAGTATGTAGGGGAGTA